TATTGATGAATATGAGATTACTTGTAGTTTGGACTAACATAGATAAAATTGATATGAACATTTGTATATGAACCTTTAGTGGACATATACCTTCACTTGTTTGTTTGTAAATACCTCTGAGTGAAATTTCTGAGTATATGGAAAAACTTATATATTTTCACTTAATACAATCATGCTTTGGTGGCTTTTAAGGCAAAATTTTGACTTTAGTATTTCTCAATTTCCCAGAAATGCAGCTGTATGTATGTATCTATGTATGTATATTTGTATGTATGTGGATTTTCCTCTTTGAATTCCTGTTTGAAATATGTGTGTTTGGATTCTTGAGTTGTTTTCTTATAGGATTGGGAATACCTCTTGTCCTTTTTGCGCTCTTTTCTCTTTTTGTAGTTCTAATTGGTTGGATGCCATTTAATTTTCCATGTTTTTGAACTTCTTTTTGATAGTGCTTTCTCTCTTTATGCTATATTTAGTTTATTTCATCAAAGCAATTTGCCAGTTCTCTCATTGTCTTTTTGGATTCACTATGTATCAAAGTTTGTAGTTTGATTGTGTGTTGGGAGATAGCATCTCCACTGTAGCCCTGGCTTGTCTTTGCTTCTGGCTCCCTAGTCCTGGGATTACAGGTTTGTACCACCATAACTGGGTCTAAAGCATTACCTCTCTTAGTCCCCCTTTCTCTCCTCCTTTCCTTTTACCTTATTTGCTTAAAAATTAAGTATAAAATATTAACTACATTTTCTTTATATTTTTTGTTTGCAAAAATTATGTAGATACTCTAGTCTTGTTGTTGTTGCTTTTGACAGGCACTGTTAAATTCTTCCTTGAAGGTTTTTGGATCACCCTGATAATGTGAATTCAGGCTTGCAAATCCATGTGATGTGATAGCAGGCCTTTGGTACCAATTTGTGAGTAGTAACATTTTCCACCATCTTAGTGCTAAGGCTTAAAGAGTTGGTTTTCCTTATCCTTGATTGATTTGTGGGAGGGTTATTTCTAGGACCACATGTTTGAGGGTTAGCTTTCTGGGTTTCCATTTTTTGTGGTAGGATTTATCTTAGAGTAGTTTTATCTTATGTTAGTTTATCTCCAACATTTTCTTTGAGGTGAGAATACCCATGGTCACCAGACTTAGACTTTCATAATGTGAACTGCAGTCTTTTTTTTAGTTATCATAGAAATATCATAGGATAGGAGATTATAAAAAACACAAAGAAGTGGAATATTTTGTGATACTTTTAATATTATTAAAACCTTTTTTCAAGTACTTTTAAAATTCTATATGAAAGTCAATAGTAGAGAGTAAAATAAGGAGTCAGAGTCCTTAAAAACAACTTATTGATAATTTCCCAAGTATCCTGGTTTCTTTTTAACTAAGAAGTAAAGAAAACAAATTAATAGCTTTATTTACAATGATCAGACTTAGTTTAGCTGCAAATTATCCAGGCCCTGGAATTCTCGAAGTTACAAAAATATGAGCTCAAATATTTATGCCATCCAAAATAGAAACACTTTAAATGACACTTTGAATAATCATATAGATATTATACTAAAATCAGTAATCTCATGCCTGATATTAATTTTCACAGAATCCTCTCTTCATTTAATATTTGTCCTTTATCCTGTCTTTCTTAATACATATATTGACATATGTAAATGTCTTAATATCTTACATAGCAATTGTAAATGTCCTCCTACTCCCCCCCCCATAGTACCTAGCCTTCCATATTTCCTTCAACTGGTGTTTCTATGAAAATTTACTTGTTTCTTTTCTCTTCATGCTTCTACAGTCATTGTGGATTATATATACTACAGGTCTCATGTGAATTATCTTTGAATCCTTTGTTGTTAATATGATGAAAATTTGATGGTCCCAAAGAAAAAGACCTTTAAATTAACCTCACTAAATTAAAAGATAAATTGCAAATCTAGAAAAACATTTGCAAAAATGAGTTATCTAGAGAAAGAGGGTGTGTGTATATGTATGTATGTATGTGTCTCAGATTTACATGGATTCACACAACAAAAAAATATGTGTTGCAAACAAATTACTTAGGAAGAATTGCTAGTAATTAGCAAAAGTGGGGAAAATTAATTGCTTTTTTGGTAGTTAAAATATAAATTAGAATAATAGTAAATATATTCCTTAACAATTTAGAAAATTTTTTAAAAAAGCTATGTGCAAGTTATGTTGTCAAGGTAGCACTTGGAATCCTCACATATGTAGTTGTGAATATACATTAATGTGAGCATTTTGGGAGAGCATCAGGATAGTTTATATTAGGCTTTAAAATTGAATATAGAGAGGGCTGAGAAGATGGCTCAGTGGTAGAGCGCTTGCCTTGTATGCCTGAGGCCTTGGGTTCAATTCCTCAGCACCACATAAGCAAAAAGAAAAAAGCCGGAAGTGGCGCTGTGGCTCAAGTGGTAGAGTGCTAGCCTTGAGCTGAAGAGCACAGGGATAGCATCCAAACTCAGAGTTCAGGCCCCACGACTCACCCCCCCCCCAAAAAAAAAATTGAATATAGAGAGCTTGCTTCAGCAGCAAATATACTAAAATTGGAATGATACAGAGAACATTATTCATGGCCCCTGTATGAGGATGACACCCAAAATGTAAGCATTCCATATTTTAAAGCCAGGCCCATGAACAAAAAGGGAGCATGTTTTCTTTCATGTATCTTAGACATGGATCTTAGACCCCAAACATAACCCTCCCATTTAAAAGCCCAGAGGGGCATATGTTGAATTTATTGTATGCATCAGTAAAACTTGAAGGAGTAAGATCTTTGAACAATTAGCAGACAGTTTAACAAAGTAAATATCAGGAAGCTGAAATGAGAGTGAATAAAGAGGGATAGTGGGTGGGTGAATGGAGGAATGAATGAACACAAAATGGAACAGGGAATGAATATATCTTTAATACCCAGTGTGCATATGTGATAAAGAAAATGTGAAATGTACCTTGCCCATGTAATTGTAACCCCTCTGTACAGTATTTTCACAATAAAAAAAAGTTAAAAAAATGTGAAATGAGTTTGGGAAAAGGGTAGATAGGATGGGAGAAAATAATGGAAAGAGGTGACTGTGATCAAGAAATACTAGATAGTTAAAATAACCATATTAAATTTAATCCCCCTTTATAACCTTTTGAAGTTTAGAAAACAAACAAAAATAAATATAGACTCTGACCCTGTAATTCCACTTTGGTGCATAAGAAATCATTCTAAGAAAGCAAAACCTTTTCATTGCAGAGTTTTTTATATCAGTAAAATTTTGGTAATGGGTTCAATATAAACCTTACTCATCTGTTTAAATAATTTTACATTCTATTAAAGATTAAATACTCCTATTAAATGTAGGAGAATTATTAAGCCAATTAGTATTTATGTGGTTTATGTCCTGTATGGATAAAAATACTTCGAAAAGAATTAAGCATCAATCCTGTATTTTTTTTTTTTTTGTGTGTGTGTGTGTTTCTGTTTCATTTTTGGTTTGTGTGTGTGTGTGTGCTGTTATTAGGGCTTGAACTCAGTTCCTTTGGCTTTTTTGTTCAGGACTTGGGCAGTACCACTTGAGCCACACCTCCAAAGTTTGTTGGACTACCAGATCCTTCTAGGTCTCAACCTACTGAGTAGGTAGGATTGTATGTGTGAGCAACCAGCCCCTTGATTAACATCCTAATTTCAATTTGGCTTCCTTGATGCTTTTCATCTTTCTAGACCAACTTCTTCCTTGAGCTCCTAGTTTATTTGCATCTTATCAACATTAATATTCAAATATCTCATGGCTCATTTTTTGTCTTCCTTGTTTTCTTTTTTCATTGATGATTTTTATTCACATGGCATAGAATAATATCTATGACCCTAAGTTTAAATAGGTTCTGCATAAACTTTTTTTTTTTTTTTAATTTTGAGACTTATCCAGCATCTCATTTTAACCTGCATATGTGTGTCAGTAACCCACATTTTGCATGTCTGGAATTAAATTTCAAAATCATGTTTTTCTCGTTGTTGTTGGGAACACTTCTATATCATCTGCAACCTCCCTGTGATTTCTACCTTATATGTGGTCTATCAGCATATAAATTAGGTTCTGCAATATGTTCAGAAGTTCCTTGGATCACTGCAACAACCTCTCTCCTTCTGTTCTTCCTTCCTCAATCTGTTCTCAGAGGATTTCCAGAGTAGTGGTTTTCAAATCCATTTGGCCTTGCAAGGGACATTTAAAAATGTCTGGGGACACTTTTGTTTTTCACAAATAGGGAGTATGTGTATGGATGTGTGCTTCTAGCATCTAGTGTGTAGAGACACATATATACTGCTAAACACCCTGAAGTATGTAAGATAGTACCTTCTGTTCTCTCAATTCATCTACTCATGTGATAAATGCTGCTGTAGAATAGTATTCCCTCCCTCTCTTCATTCCTCCCTATATTTTTAATACTTAATGTTATGGCACTTATCCTCTTGGCTCTTAATCCCATGCAGAGCAGAATCAAAGTTCTTAAAATAGCCTCTAAGGACCTCTAGTACCTGGCCTCCTTTGGCTTCTTGGAATTTACCTTGCTTTGTTCTGTTCCATCCAGCCTGTCTTTGAACAGGCAGACATTTTTCCTCACTGATGCTGCTGGCTTGACAGTCCTCTCTGCCTAGAATGTTGTTCCCTGTGTGTAGCATCATTAGATAATTAGTGATACTTATTAAATAATGATAATTTAGTTGTGTATTTTCTGTAGTAGGACTTTGGAGGACTTTACCCTTTCTAAAATTTCCATCTTTCTGTGGTATGGAGGCATTATTTTTATAATAGAAAAAGTAAAAAAGTGTTATGAATTTTTATCATTAATGATTTTGTCTTTTATTGTATAACATTGCCTGTTTTACCCATTTGTAAAATTTAAAGCCTTGTTTTTTAAATGCCATACAAAATTGATGATGTTTTGCTAATATATTTTAATATTGGCAATAGATTAAACTTTCCTTTTTACACTTTTACAGGACTATGATTTAATCTCCAAAGAACCAAAGCCTCTTGTATTTGAGGGAAAAGTATGTGGTCCCATTGTTGTTCCTACAGCTGGTGAAGAAGCATCTGGGAATCCAAAGAAAAAAGGGGCTGTAATGAAGGAGAAAGTATCTTCTAAAGGAGAGGAAGGTGATAAGAAATCTGCTCTCATGGATGTCACAAAGGAAAATGCTAAAGATAATGACAGAACGTTATTACAGCAACTCCGAGATCCAAACAGAACTACTTCTTCCCACAGCTTAAACAATGATATTGTGAAGGCCTTGGACCGAATCACATTGCAGAATATTCCTTCTCAAACAGCCCTGTGCTCGACTGCCATAGTGAAGAAGGATTATAGTCTTCCTCTTAGTGTCCTGACATGCACAAAAGCATGCCCACATGTAGTTAATTGTGGAAATGCTCTTTTTGAGGGACGAACAGTACACCTAGGGAAACTCTGCTGTACTGGGGTTGAAACTGAAGATGATGAAGATACTGAATCTAGTTCATCAGTAGAACAGCCATCAGTTGAAGTTCCTGATGTACCAACACTCCATGACCCTGACCTGTATATTGAGATTGTGAAAGATACAAAATCTGTCCCAGAATATACAGAGGTGGCTTATCCTGATTATTTTGGTCACACTCCACCCCCATTCAAAGAGCCTATTTTAGAGAGACCTTATGGTGTACAACGGTGAGTTATAGATTTCTTTTTGCAAATAAGACTATTGTGTTAACAAATTACATATTGAAAATTACTTTGGATAATCAAGAGGAAAACTACTCTGAATTAAAATTTGTATGTGTATGTTTACCTATATGTGTTTGTAATTATATATGTTCTGCTTTTGAAATTTTTCATGGTTTTGATATTATCCTTGCAGCTTTACTGTATAACTTATTCAAATGAAGCTAGAATAACAAACAAGACCCTGTGATAAGTTAGAAATTCTCTGTAGATGGAATGTAAATATATGACAGATTCATTTGCTTAGCAATATTTATGTAGTAATTTAATATTTGAACATGGTTAAGGTATGTGATTTAAAAAGACAAAGTAGACACTAATACTTTATTTAAAAATTTAATTGTAAATATATACCCTAAACACTTGGGCTTCCTAAAAGCAGTAACATTAAATAATTAGTAGTATGCAAAGTAATATTAAATATTACAAATAGAGTTAAACAATGCCAATTTGTAATTTTGGTGTATAAGAACACCTGTGGAGTATGTCTGAACTACTTTTTGGTGATTTTATGATGATGGTTTATCAGTTTCTCAACAAAAACATAAATGCTTTTGACTAAGAAGATAGTATTTTATAAAGAAGCAAGGTCTTGCTGTTGGTTTTGAGTCTCCTTAGAATATAAGTTTTTTTTTGTCAGTTGTGGGACTTGAACTCTGGGCCTGAGTGCTGTCCCTCAGCTCTTCAGCTCAAGGCTAGTGCTCTACCACTTGAGCTACAGCGCCACTTCCGGCTTTTGGAGACAAGAATTTCATGGACTTTCCTGCTGGGACTGGCTTTGAACTGTGATCCTCAGATCTCAGCCTCCTGAGTAGCTAGGATTACACGCATGAGCCACTTGGCGCCCGGCTTAGAATATAAATTTCTTTAAAGCAACAAATGCATCTTATTTTTATCTGTAGACCTAGTGTGATTTATCACTTTTACTTGACTATTTAGTGTTATGTTTTGTGCTGGTAGTTGGCTCTTAGATCCACAGGTATGGACTCTCACTTCACATAGAATCAGGACCTTACTTCACTGGGAAGGATGTGTGGGAGTAGGCCTGGACTTTGGAATGTACTGAGTCGTTCCCCTACGCCCTTCAGGTTGTGGCATCTAGAGGCAGGTGGCCTTGTGGTTTGCTGTAATGGTGAATAACAGGCACAGGTGAAGCTCTTACTGAGAGGGAACACTCTGCACAGATGTCATCTTTTAGGATACAGACTATGCACTAAATTAGAAGCTTCCTCATAGTTGTATATCTCTTGTAAACGGCATATGGGTTTGGGAACCAGAAAGAAAGTTTGTGGTCTGTAGCATCAGAAATCTTAGTTCCGCCAGATGCTGGTAGCTCAGGCCTGTAATCCTAGGTACTCAGGAAGCTGAGATCTCAGTATTTTGGTTCAAAACCATCTGGGGCAGGAATACCTTGAGAATCTTATCTCTAATTTTCCCCAAACTGAATGTGGAACTGTAGCTCGAAGTGGTAGAGCCTAGAAGAAGAAAATTTCAGGGATAGCATGCAGTCCTTGAGTTAAATAAAGCCCCAGGACGGACCGACCAAAAGGAGAGAAAAAAAAAGAATGAAATCCTACTTCCCGTAGTGGCTCTTGTCTTTTCACAATTTTACAACCAGGGCAAACTCTGTTTTCTGTGATTGCCAACTAGATACTGTAGATTGCGTAGAATTCAGACAGATTGGGAACTGCTGTGGCTTTTCTTCATCCATTCTTGTCTCTTTTACCATTTGTGATAAATTTTTTGACCTTGTCCCTCAAACATAAACTTTAGAATTGCATTGCAAATCAAATTTACAAATTATAGTCAAACTTTTTTTTTCTTTTCTTTTTTTTTTGTCGGTCATGGGGCTTGAACTCTGGGCCTGGGTGCTGTCCCTCAGCTCTTCAGCTCAAGGCAAGCGCTCTACCACTTGAGCTACAGCGCCACTTCTGGCTTTTTTTCTTTTTGCTTATATGGTACTGAGGAATCGAACCCTGGGCCTCAGGCATGCAAGGCAAGCGCTCCACCAATGAGCCAACTTCCCAGCCCCAAAAATTTATTTTCTAAAACTGCACTCATCAAAATAAAACAGAATGAAAATATTTTTCTTAAGCACAGAAAGGCAAATGAAAAGAAATACTATTTCTTGCATATCAAATGGGCTAATATCTACTTGAACAGCATATTCTGTTGATGAGTCTCCTACACTGAGGGTGACTCTGTCAGTTGACTATACTCTGTCATATATAACCGTCAGACTGGATCTGTCATTATTAACATGTATCTTCTTTGACACATTAATCCCACCTCTAGGGAGTTTATGAGATCTACTCATAAGCTCATGCACACATGCACACACACACACATATATGTGACTTACATATATATGAAATGATTTTTCATTGAAATGTTGCCTTGAGATGGGAATTAAATCACGTATCCATCAGTGAGACAAGTGAAATAAATTATATTTTATGAATAACAATGCAATAGATAAAAACAGAACAGTATGTATTGATAAGAAAAAGCTAAGGGCTGGGAAGGTGGCTCAGTGGTAGAGTGCTTGCCTTACATGCATGAGGCCCTGGGTTCAATTCCTCAGCACCACAAAGAAAAAAGCAAAAAGAAAAAAGCTGGAAGTGGCGCTGTGGCTCAAGTAGTAGAGCGTTAGCCTTGAGCTGAAGAGCTGAGGGACAGCGCCCAGACCCAGAGTTTAGACCCCATAACCGGACCCCCCCCAAAAAAAGAAAAATCTATAAGATGTATTATTAAGTAAAATAAAGTGTTTTATGTTATTCAGGAAGAAGTGAAAACAAAATTATATTTTTGCAAATTAAAATCTGAAGGATAGTAATTAAAACTAATTGGCTGAATGGAGGGTTTGGGTTATGTACAAAGACAGACTTTTCATTTAATGCCTAATGTCATATTTGATACTGTAACAATACCAGTATATTTCTGAAATTTTAAAATATAGGTAAACTATGGAAAAGCAATATGAAGAAAGAAAATCCTGGACTTAGTTAATATTAAGTTTTGGACCTTGGGTGAAACTAAAGAAGGTCTGGAATGTAAACAATAGGGAAATGTTGATAGGAGAAAAAGCAGCAGGTAACATTTATTAAATACTTTGGAGCAGACACAGAATTGAATACTAAGCATTTTACATGCAGTATATACTTACTTATAAAAATGTGTCATCTAATGCTATAACAGCTCTATGAGGAAGATGCTGTTTTTCTTCTTTTATACAAGAGTATGTTGAAATTTAGGATTATTGAATAATTTATCCAAATTTGAACTGCTGGCAGAGCCAACATTTAAACTTTGGTCTGTATTATATCTTGTTAATGATAGATAGATAGATAGGTATTTAGTGATCATATTATCTGTAAAGAATATCCTAGTTCTTTTTCCTGGAAGATACGGATAATAACTTTATTTTCAGGGAATTCTGTTATTTTCAAGGTTCTGGGTTTTTTTGTTGTTTGTTTTTGTTTTTTAAATTAGTGGAATAAAGCTGCTCACCTTATGGGTGACAGAGAAAGAGAGAGGAGAAAGGGTTGTAGTCCCAGAATTCCTTTCAAGGACATACCTCAGTGACCTAACTTCCTCCAACTAGGCCTATGAGGATTCCATCACTTTCAGACAGTAGTAGCGTTAATGGACTGATGAAGCCTGCAATACACAAGCCTTTGGAAGACACTTTAGACTGAAACTATATCAACTATGATTTACTGAGTGCTCCTTAATACTGGGAAGTTGAGAAATAGGCTAGTTTCAGATTGGCCTGAAGAAAAGGAGTCTTTTAGATTTACAACCATTGTGTGAAACTTTTTACACTCTGCGCTTAATATATCTCTAAACCATAGTTTTGCCTTTTAGCTGGAACAGAGAAACTTGAAATTTAAATAAATGCATATGTGACTTATTCTTTACAAAAAAGTTAAACTATGAGACGCATCTATGTTATTTTAACACTGTCAAGACTTTGTGGCCAGTCTCCCTGAGGTTCTAGCATGTGGCTTCAGGCTCCCAGTCTGTTCTGTTCAGTCTACAGTTTGATGCTACCAGATAGTTAGGCTTTCACTTGTTTTAGAATATTGAAGTGCTGTGAGTGTCTCAGTCTTCTACTGAGTGGCAGGGATTTTAGGAACTTTCAGTTAGTGTCCTTTTGTTGAGCACATTTAGATCAGGCCTGGAGAATCCTGAGACCAAAAGGACCACTTTCTATCCCTGACTCAGATGGCTTTTCCTCCTTTTCAACTTTCCTTTTCTACCACAGAAAAGAGAGGAGGATTGTGCAGAACATTAAATACTCAGCTGGCTGGATTTTTTTTCCTTTTTTTTTTTTGTTGTTGTTAATCTCCTTTATATAATTTTGGACTTTTCAGATCTTCACTACCACTACTTTTAATTATCCAAAATTATTTGCCTAAGAGAATAATCACATTTCTATGTAGAAAGGCCTTATAAGCATTTTAGGCTAGCCAGCCTCCTGTTTCTCTCCTCTCTTTTCTCTTCTTTGCTTTTTTCACTGTTGGATTGTGACTGAATTCTAACACATGGCTGTTTTCCAGTTATTACTAGTTTTTGTTAAGCTGGTGATATACTTTCACTTACCATATGTAGATAGATGAATGATCATTTTAGAGAGGTTTTTATCATTTACCTTTTTTCATTCAGAATTTATTTTGGAGAATTGTTCACTGACATATATAATGAATTTTCCCCAAACTTGTATGATTTCAGGACAAAAATTGCCCAGGATATTGAAAGACTAATACATCAGAGCGATATTATAGATCAAGTGGTATATGACTTAGATAACCCAAAGTAAGTGCTTTTAAGTCCCTTTTTACTGCTTTTATGTTTACAGTAAAATTTTAGTGTTATTTCTAAGAGATTAAAAAAATTACCTCTTTTTTGGGGGGGTCTGGTCGTGGGGCCTGAACTCTGGGCCTGCACACTGTCCCTCAGCTCTTCACCTCAAGGCTAGTGCTCTACCACTTGAGCCACTGCGCCACTTCTGGCTTTTTTTTTCTGCTTATGTGGTGCTGAGGAATTGAACCCAGGGCCTCCTGCATGCAAGGCAACCACTGAGCCACCTACCCAGCCCAAAATTATCTATTTTCATCTGTGTTATGTTTTCACATTGTGACAGTGTGATAATACTTAGGTAAATCATGTTCTGTTGTTTAAGTTGTAGATGTCATAGCCTTTATTAGTTTTCAGGTGGGTTTTGAAGGTAAACACTATATTTTTGAAAAGAAAATGAAATTACCTCCACTTCAAAGTGGATAATTTCATATAGAATACTGGCTTGTGTTGCTCCTTTATTTTGTCAGGATGAAAAATTACCATCTCCTTTAGAAGGAGAGAGGTTTCCACAGTTCCCACCACTCCTTGTTATTTACTGCTTATATGAACCTGGCACCTAGTAGCAGCTACTAAGTAACTACTAAAATCAAGCTAATACCTGTAACTTTTTTGGTATTAAATAAGATTGCTGATAATGTAGATCTCTAAATTGAAAATAGTATTTTCACCTGTAAAACTTTATGGTTTATTAGAATGATTGCTACTCTTTTTTTCTTTTTCTTTTTTTTTTTTTTGCCTTTCTGTTTTTAACTTTTTTCTTGTAGGATAATTAGTATTTTAGAAATGACATTTATTCAGTGAGGCAAAGTTTTTGTTATATTAGTGTAGGAACAAGCCTGGAGTTGCAGTTAACAGTGTTTTTTGTTTTGTTTATTTTTTGTCTATAAATAGTAAGCAAAGTTTGTTCCTTGCTGTGTTTTAAAAGTAATGAGGGCAGAGTAGTAAATATAACGCTTTTAATCAGCAATGTAGTTTTGTTTAGTTTGTGTTTATCTACTTAAAACATATACATAATATAATGACTTTAAAATATTTATTTAGTTACATCATTCCAGAAGAAGGAGATATTTTGAAGTTTAACTCAAAATTTGAATCAGGAAATCTGCGCAAAGTAATTCAAATTAGAAAGTAAGTCACTTCAAATGTTTTCATTTTATGTGTACATAGGTATTTCCTTAATTTTCATCAGATATCTTTATCTTCTATTTTCAGAAATGAATATGATCTTATTCTGAACTCGGATATAAACAGCAATCATTATCATCAGTGGTTTTACTTTGAAGTCAGTGGAATGCGTCCAGGTGTTGCATATAGATTTAACATTATTAACTGTGAAAAGTCCAACAGTCAGTTTAATTATGGTAAGATAATTTTCTTTCCTATAAGAAGGCATATAGGCATCTTACTGTAGGACAGAAGTTGAACAAAAGAATCATTAACAAAAATATGTTTCAGGGCTGGGAAGGTGGCTCAGTGATATGCGCTTGCCTTGCATGCCTGAGGCCCTGGGTTCGATTCCTCAGCACCACATAAGCAAAAAGAAAAAAGCCGGAAGTGGCACAGTGGCTCAAGTGGTAGAGTGCTAGCCTTGAGCTGAAGAGCTGAGGGACAGCGCCCAGGCCCAGAGTTCCGGCCCCATGACCGGACCCCCTCACCCCCAAAAAATGTTTCAATCTCTTGCTTTATATATTTATCAAAATTCTTGGGCCTGGGGAGGTGGCTTAGTGCTAGAGTGCTTACCTTGCATGCATGAGGCCCTGGGTTCACTTCCTTGGTACCACATAAGTACAAAAATAAAATTATTTAGTAAAATTTTAAATTCTTATAGTTATTATGCAAACTTTGAAACAGGTTAGACTTTGATTTGTCAGTAAAGGGTTACTCCTGTATTAGCAAGCCCTTTACTTTTTTTTTTTTTTTTT